CCTGGAGGTGGCTAAGTGTTTCTACTCTGGTTTTTCTCACAGTTCGTCTGCTGACAGTGTGGTGGCTTCCTTGGCCCTGGAAATCCTCCAAGCTGCTCGACACTAGCCAAGAAGGCACTTAGCACAGGCCTGCTCTGCAGCACCAGCCTTTGGCTACACACATTCACATCGCCACCCATAGCTCTATTTGGACCTAATAAAGTCAGCTGAACCCAGAACCTTCTGGCTGAGGTGTTCTCACTAATCCTGGGCCCTAGGAAACCCACTCAGAATGGAGTAGTTCCTTCATTCCTGCGGGATGCATCTGGAAACCACAGGTTTGCTAGCTGTTCTGAGAATGTGCTTTCCCTCTGTGTGCTAGGTAGGCCTCCACAAAAGCCTGTGCTAATCAAGGACGCGAGAAGCCACAGTCCTCAGCCTGCGGCATCTGTGAGCCTCTTTCTCCAGAGAAGATTTAAAGGACAGGACTAGGCGTGAATGCTCTCCCAGCTGCAGCTCCAGAGCAAGCCTTTGGAAGCTAGTTCTAGCTTCGTCTTCCTCCCACTTTTACCTCCCACCTTTTACCTTTCAGGGACAAACTGAATCCACGAATCCTGGGGAGGGCTGGGCAAGGCTCCACAGGCAGTGCAGAGTTTGCCTAAAGGATGCAGAACACTTGAGGAACCCTGGCTTCCTTGAAAGTCTGCCCATCTAGGTGTTGTGATGGGGGGGGAGGGGTTCTACTTTGATGCCAACTCCTGCCAATTACCCCCTTATCCTTAGAACCTTTCCAGCTTCTTCCCATGTTCCGTCACACATATGCCCTTAAACCTCCTATGTATGTAAGAAGCCCATGGAAATATTTGGTGGACACTGCAGAAAGGTGCTGGGACTGTGATGCTGAGGAAGGCTTACTCTTGAATGTGGCCTGGAAGGTAGGGGTGGGTCCTGGGCAGCTCGAACCACGTGAGCAAGTTGAGGCCCTTCCTTAGCCTCTCTGGGGCCCGTATCCCCATCTGCAAAAGGAAAGGGCATGCAGGCAGAGTGGGCGGGATAAGCACCAGGGGGCGCGCATAGGTGGCCCCATTTATGGCATCACAGGAAGCTGGTCACGTCGTCACCAACAGCCCCACCTTGCCACCGTGGTCTGGGTAGCTTGCCAGCCTCCATGCGGTTAGTACTGAAAACAGCAGTTCTGTGTGTCCAACTCCATCAGGAGCCTAGGTGTTACCTTACTCACCACCACAGCCAACAAAGAAGGCCGCCTTAGCTTCATTTCCTGAGAGAAGACAGGCTCAGAGAGGGCAGTCCGGCTGCCCAAGGCCCCAGAGTCTGGTTGAAATAAGGACCTGACTCCACAGCCTTTGTGTGCCCCGCAGCGGGGTACCCAGAGCTCAAGCTGGGAGCAGTTACGGCACAAGAGTGGCCCCCGCAGTCTCCTTCCATGTCTCCTAGCCTACTCGCCGCCCATGGTGAGGACGCTCCATGCCCCACTCATTTTGCCTGTGGTCCTGGGGTGGGGGAGAAGCCGGAGGCCTGGCCCTCAGCTCCAGTTGCCTTGTTGGCTGGGTCCAGGGAACAGGCAAGGGTCTCCCTATTTTCCCAGGAAATAAATCTGTTCTCTCCCTTCATTCAGTTCTTGGGAGAACTGCCCTGGAGTTCTGTGCCTGGAGTCTTCCCAGAAAGTATTTCAGAGCACTGGAAGATTCTGCTTTACCCTTTCTAGTTAGGAGCACGGAGTCGTCTTTGCTGTTTGAGGTAAAACAGAAAAATTTTAACATTCCAGAATGGTTTTGTTGAATGGACCCTTCTTGGCCCGGAGCCCCTCCGCATTGCCTTTTTCAGGAAAAGCTATCTGAGTAGGCAAGGGACAAGCAGGGTGCTAGGGCACTGAGGCTAGCCCAGGCCAGGCTTCACAGGGACGGGAGGCTGTCATCCTGGAGTTAGGGGATCCTTTTTATTCTCGTAAAGGCGCCAAGTGTAAAGGAGCAGCCCTGGCCCCACTGAAATCGGGCATAGGGTACACGAACAGGCCTGGCTGGGTGGGCAGCAGGAGGCCTAACCCTTCCCCATGTGAGGCCCATACCCTCCTATTTGGCTTCCCAGGCTGGCTCCAGTTCTAAGAGAACTGGCCCCTGGCTCCTGGCCCATTAGAGCTCTCAGGATTCTGGCAGTGGCATGGGGCCCAGAAGGCACCTACTGGCCCTCATTCCCCCACTTTCGTGCTTCAGCTATTTGCTCTTTAACTGGCTACGACCATCAGGTGAGCCTCTTCAGGGACAAATGGGGTCACAAGTTGCAGAGCAGACTGGGGAGCAGGAGATGACCAGGTGAATGGCTGCACAGAACTACCTTTCCCTCCGTGAACAGCAGGCCCAAAACTTCAAGACCTTGCCTTAACTTACAGCCTGAGAGCAGGTGCCCAGGGGAGGGGTCTGTCCCTCTGAAGAGCCACACCCTGGCCACAGGTCTCCTGAGAGGAGAGGACAATCATCGGGGCAGCTAAGCTGTGGGTCTGTAGGATGCAGAAACAGAATTTTCTCTTACAGTTCTCTGAACTCGTCTAGCTCTTCATGGTTCCCCTATTACCCTGAGGCTTTTCAAGATTATCTCACGAGGTTCTCAGGTCAATTCTGTGACTGCACACAGGCTTTATCCCTGTGACACAGCTCAGAAAGCGGGACCTCTGGGGGCTAAGGCTCTTGGCTTGAAGCAAGATTCCTTTTCTCCCTCCCCTGGTGACAGAAAAATATGGTGGCAGAATCCATGGATTTATGCAGGAGCTGAGGTAGGAGATTCAGGAAGGAACTGGTAGGGAAGTAGGGCGGGCGGAGACAAGACCAGCCAAAGTTTAGGAGGCCATGAAAGCCTCAAGCTTCAGTGGGGCTGAGAAGGGAAGTATAGGGATGAGAAGCAAGAAGTCACAGCTCAGAATGAGGACCAGGGAGGTATGGAGTCCTGATGTGAAGGAAGGCTGGTCTTTTAAATCCTGTTTTAGGGCCCTTACTGTAGAGGCAGTAAGGGCAGCCTGTCACCTGCCTCTAGCTCACTCGTGGGGTGGGGAGGGGCAGGGGACTCCCCCCCCCAGCACGCTGACGGAGGAGGAAAAGGAAGCACCATCTTCTCAGCCTTGCCCCTCACTCTGCCATTGCATCTGGTGGGTGATTCACTCAAGGCAAGGTAAGGCCATTTTAAATTCTCACCTATCAGAACAAAATAACTGCAATCAACTGGGCACTCTCCACTTTATAAACCAAACAGCATGATTCAGACCTGTTTTTATTACAGAAATCAAAAATTAAAAAGCATATTTAAAATCTTTCACTGTCAAGGATTCAAATAATCAGATTGAAGCCTCATGTCTAGAACATCTGCTCCACCATGGAAAAGAGCTGCATTCTTCAGCTTAGTGGCGGTCACTGCAATGGGATCAAATGTCGTAGGCGCCCTCCTATCCCCAGGTAACCACTATTCTGATTTCTGTAGAAATCCAATCACCTCCTTGCTTTTGTTTTTACCATCCATGGGTGATGTCCTCCAAAAAGTTTGCCCTTTTATTCGATCAGTGAGGTCCTACAGCATGCATTTGTAACTTGCTTTTGGTCAGTCCTGTTTGAGGTATCCACACACTGCCGTGTGAAGCTGTAGCTCTCTACTGCAGGACGGCTGTTCTCTAGCATGAATACAGTGGTTATCGGATACATGGGCTGTTGCGCAGTGCTCTCCCAAGCCATAATAATGGAGTTTGAGGCAAAAGAAAAATCATTAATACCGACCTTACTTGTCTTTAAAATCTTGGTATTTTGTGGGTCATGGATTTTTTTTTTTTACCCCTGCATTTTCATTTTTTCCAAATGGCTACCAATTGTTCCATACCTTTACTAAGAAGTCCCTCTCTTCACACTGACCTCCAATGCTACCTCTAAAGTACTATGTCCACATCTTCCACAGCTGTCTTTGTGCCAATAACTGCTAACTCCCTCTACCCTTTTAGTTAGGTCCTGACCTAACTAGAGCAAGTCTTCCCCCCTCATTCTTCCCAAGTGTCTTGGCTATTCTTGGTGCTTTGTATTACTACTTGCAGAACCACCTTGCTGAATCAGATTAACTTTACATTTTTAAGTGGAACTTCAAAACTATAATGATTTTAGGCAAAGCTCTGAAAATGTTTTCTGATTTTAAGAAGTTCTTTAAATGAAACACCCTGCTGTGGTACCTTTGTGTGAAGCTTCCTGTGATACTGGCATGATTCTGTCATGCACTGGAAGGAACCTGAAACCATCCACCTCCCCAGGTACAGGGTCTCCTCTCCGATCCCTATTTACACTTTAGACCACAGTGGCTTTCACAAAACTTCAGCCAAAAGGAAGTGAACATGTTTATCTAACAGTCATGATCTTAATCAAATAAAAATACCCGGTAACTCAAACAGCTCTCCCTAAGCACAAAACACTTTCACTCTTTCTAAAGACCAAAACACAAGTCTTAACAGGTCTACTGACTGCCCTGAGGTATGAACGAAGGCTGTCAGACCTACCGCCAGGATGACAGGATTACCTGGCAGACAAGTGGAAGAAGGCTCCATTCTGGTCTGATTATGTCCACGATAAACATCAACACTTTTAAACCATCTTAATTTTCAGTTCAAAGGGGAGTTGAAGGAATTCCCCTCTCTGTTATGTGAAGGTGCTTGAAATCCAAATCCAGGTAGCTAATTTTTCATTATTACCTTAATAGAAAGGATCCATCTGATGGTGTCTGGAGTGGGGGAAGCCTATATGGCTTTCAGTCTGGTTCCATGTAGCCCAAAGATGACATGACATGCTTTTGAATTGAGGTTTCTGGTGCAACTTAACCCAGGACCCACTGTTAAAGAAACTTGGCAAACAATCCCATCTGGATGTAAGGCGCTCTCTCTCATTACAACTTCAATTATACCACTGTGTGTGTTTTCCTCAGGATGAAGCTGAATAAACTATCCTCACAAACCAGTTAATGACAAGGAGAAAAAGGTGACACAATCGAATGAATTAAAAGTTTAATTCTGAACCATTTTTATAACCGCATTTTCTCTTGAAGCATCGTATCACAGCAGGTTACAACAACTTTGGGATAAAAGGCAAATGGTAAACTGTCCAAAACAAGGTTCCAAATAACACCTCTTACTGATTTACCCTACCCATACATATCCCAAATAAAGTTTTTGATCAAAAACATGAAATAGATTCACCTGCTTATTTTAAGCATATTAAAAAGGAAACTAATTGGACCATTTCTATTTGTCTATTTTATACAAAAAGGCTACACAATGTTACACTTTATTCAGATTACAATTAGAGTGATTATGAATTAGTGTTCTACACCATTACTCAATTCTTAAAAATTAGAAATTGCTGTAGCAGTATTCACTATAACTTAACACTACGAGAGACTTAAAAAACTAACAGTTACTGCAAAAAAAATTAAAGAGCTACTTCAAAGCAAGCAAAGTCAGTACCATTACAGATATTTAAAAAAAAAATTTAACAAGCAAGGCTAGAGTTTGATAAATTCCATATCTTGTGATCCATTCTTGTGCATTCTTCACTTCTTGAGTCACTCCCAAAATCCATTTGTATTGTTACTCCTCGACCAAAAAGGACCAGAACAAAAAGTTTACTTCAATTGTTCCCATAGGAAACTCAGCTTGGTTAGTGTGTCAGGCACTTTCTGAGATACCAGCCCACCCCTCGAGCCCTCTCAGCAACTCTACAGGCCAATCACAATGCAAGTTCAGACAATACAGCTGTATAAAGAGAGAAAGGCTGCTATTAATGTTTAAAACAGCAAATGTTACTCATTTGAGTATTAAGTTGCAAAAGCTGTGGCAAAAAACATTTAAAGTTAATAACTTCCACACATGACCACTTAACCAGAAATCTGAGAACAGTCAAATGTTCTAAGACATCTTTCAAAGTATGTATCTGTTTTGGTGGCAGATTTACAAATAGGCCTAAACCACTCCCACCCTACCAACCAAGTCTCTCTGAAGTTCTGTAGGCAGAGTAAAAGTATTTTACCCAAACTGGTTTTTTTTAACTTCTTACCTAAAGGATGATTTACAGGTCAGTATCAAACCAGGCCAGCTGATTGCTGTCGCCTGGAGGCAGCCCATCCATGAGGTCCTGGGCATGCCCCAGATCTGGCAGCCCATCAACTGGATAGTCAGCACCAGGGTGGTGGCCACCCATCTCATGCTCCATCATGGGGTCCATACCCAAGGCATCCTGGCCATATCCACCAGAGTGAAAAGAACGATAGCTGGGATCTAGAGTAGTCAGGGTGGAAACAAAAGGAGCAAGGGAAAGAGGAGAAAGACGTTAAAGTTAACGCTAAGGTGCGGGCCTTCAATGGCAGCGAACTTGTCTCAGAAAGCAGGCCTTTCTAGCCTGTTCAACTTCTAGCTTTCTTCAACCAAGTAATTACTCACTGCCAGGCCACCCACAAGGCTATATACAAAGTCTGTTTCCAGGAGAGGCAGACCAGCAGGTTCTAACCACACCATCCGTTTACCACCGAACATTTTGTGTTTGCTTCAGTAGAGACATAAAATCCCTGAGGAGGGGCAGCAAGCAATCTACTGTGTGTATGACCGCCCAGGCATCAACAAGTCATGGGCAAGAGATGAAAGCAAAAGCAAGGCGGTCTGGCGGATGTAATCTATCTGTTGCAGAGTCCAGTAATACAAAGGAACTGAGAAAATTCAAGCTGCTGTTTCCAATGAAACCTTTACGTTAAGGGTTGACATTTAGATCTCTGTCACGTAAGACGCCTATGAGCTTCAGTGGTTTAATACTTAGGAAAACCCAGATGAGATTATAAACATAAGGTGAATAGCTGTATTTGTTCACGGTCTACCCCATGCTCCATCTCCATTACCCAGATTTGAACGAGCTTTTCGGAATACCCTGATAATAGAACTGTGCAGATCCACCCCAGATCTGAGCTTGGAGCCAGAGTTCCCCATATTCTTACGTCCTGGGCGGGTTGCAGACACAGAGATTACAGGTTCTCTGACCAAAAAAGGGACTACATAGGCAACTTGTCATGTTCTGCACTGCAGAGGCTCAGTAGTCGTGACACATATTTGTTGGTGTGATCCTGCCGCCTGCTCAGTGTGCGGCTCCAAATTCCCTAGGCTCCACGAGAGCTACTGCTGCTGACTCTGGCATTTCAAAAGTGCCTTTAACTACTGCCACTACTTTCCTGCCAACACTGGTTTCCCAGATGAGCAAACCAGCTCTTCTGATAAAGCTTTGGAACCTTAGCTTGACCGGGAGTTAATCGAGAAATCTGAGACACATACCATCCTGGCGATATCCAAGGGGTTCTCCCTGGGCACCAATATCAAGTCCAAGATCAGCAGTCTAGATAAACAGGTACAAGGCAAAGAAGCAAAATAAAAACGAAAATTCTCAAGTATACTCTCTAATATTCTGAAAACATACTTATTTTCAGGTAATAGAAGGAACAAAGAACTCACAGAAATACTTCAAACTCCACCCCTCAAAGATTCACTCCTGATAAGTAGAGCAACATGTTTGTCACTACACACAGTATTAAAAATATTCACTAATTTATGCTTTCAGCAAATATAACAGTCAACAAAACAGGCAAAGTGAGGTGCTGACAAACAGGGTATGACCTGAAAGATTTTTAGCCTGAGCAGATGGAAAGGGGAAGACTAGGAGAGGAACAGGTTTGGGGAAGTTCATGGCCCAAGTTGGAACATGTTAAGACTGCCCATTAAAACCCAACTAACATATTACTCACAATTTGGCAATATGCTTTTCTTTTTCACCTAACAATCTACAGGATCTCTTTCCATTCATATAATCCACTGTATGACTATGTAGTATAACTGAATGAACTTTCAGGGTGGTTCTACTGTTTCAAGAACAATTCTGTACTAAGGATAAATACTGAAGACAAATTCACAGAAATTCAAATAGAAAAGTAGATGAAAAATTGAAAATTTAAACAGTATCAATAAATTGACCTCCAACTAAAAGTGTTTAATAGAGTGTGCCTCTTTCCTTAAAAGGAAAAATATTCCCTTTTGGAAAAACATCCCTTTTGAAAAAGATGCTTTAACCTGATAACTTTTTCATCCATCTCCCTCACGAATTCTAAGTGAAGTAGCACTGTTTGTTCTGAATAGGCTGTTTAAAGTCATGGTTCTTCCTCATAGTGGCTGCTAAGGTAGCAGAAAGGATGAATATTCAAGCCAAGGACACAGTAAATGCAAATAAATGTGTGTGAACATTGGAAGGGAAACTGCACACTACTGAATAAACGTGTCCACACCGCCTACCTCATTCCAAGCCATTGGCTCTGTTCTGAAGAGAGAACTGGTCAGCTCAACTGAAAGCCGTTTCTTGTAATCCTGTGGCTTGTCCTCAGACATTCGGAACAAAACAGCAGCTGCGTATGTTGCTGGGAGAGGAAAGGAAAAAAGGCCCCTGAGGAAAACCTGAGGCTTTCCTGTATACACCAGCTAAAGGTTCTGGTTCCTCTTCTACTTACCTACACCTTCGTTCCTAGAGTGAAGTAACTCTGTCAGAGGAGCTGTGGCTCCCTCTGCTTCGATGGCTTCCGCAGCCTCCTTGTCCTGAGCAAGTTCACAGAGGACCCCAGCAGCTACTCTTTGGATATTTTCAATGGGAGAATAAAGCAGCTAAGGAGAAAAACACAAAACCTACTTAAATCTAAAGGAAAAACACGGCAAGCACCCCACCGTGCTGCAAACATTCCCAATTCAGAGAGAACGAGGCGTTTGCACTACTTGTAGTAAATCATATTCTCTAACTTCTCAGGTATGTGATGCTCTGGAGCACAGGTTTTCTAGACCACTTTCGGCTACAGAGCTGAGCTCTGGCAACCGAGACCAGCTCTCCTACCTCCAAAACTCAGCACCCCAAAAGTGGAGTATGAAGTATTCCTCTTCTTCAGGCTCTAGCCCCAGTGTTCCTCCTACTGCCCAGGGAAAATGAAGGGACTTTTCATAAAGTTAAATGTACTCAACTAAAAGGACACTATACATTCAGATTCCATTTGTCATTCATTGGCAGGGGGCATGAGCAGAGTGTTGTCATTTTATAATGGAGATAGATGAAAAATTGCCCCTAACTTGGTCCCTAATTTTCTGAAATTCTGTTTATCATTAAAATCCTGAAATTTTATTTATAGACTCATAAAATCTAGAACACCTCACATGAAACCAACATACCTGCACAAACAATGGAATGGTATTTAGTCCTCTGATTACAATTCGGTTGTGAACATCCCGAGCTAGGATATGAAGGGCTCCAGTACAACCTTCAACAATTTCTTCCATACGGACCCCCTCCTACCAAAAGAAACATGGTTAACAAATAGGACATTCTCCTCCCTAAAGTTTATAAACAGAAAGGCTTTCTGTTCTGAGTAGCAATTCCTAGACTATTCACATTATACACCCAAAGTTCCCCAGATTTTGCAACTGGTTTAGGAATGAAGGAGGATTCCATGAAGATGAACGTTACGGAGGTGGGGGGCGGGGGGTCATGATGGCACTAATTCCTAGCTGCACGCCCCCCCCCCCCACACACATACTACGCAAAGGATATAGAGCTTTGACATACTCTGAATCCCAAAGATAACTTTCTTACAGTCAAGACACCAACCACTTTCGGTAAAAGGAAAATATAAAGATACATAAAGATGGCAAAATAATGCACAGACTGACAAATGCTTTACTTCCATATGCTCCCTCTACTTATTTTTGTATTTCTATGTGTATCAGGTGAAAACCAAGCAAAGGTTTATCACCAACTGCTAAAATTCTATTGAGCTGTCAAGTGGCAGATCCACTCCTCACAGCCTCCAAGACTGTTTGACCAGTGGTCTATATGGGAGAAGGAAGTTAACTTTTGCAAAATGTAGATACTCTCTGCTTTCCCTGTTCCTGAGTTTTAAAAAAGGTAATGATTCTGGTACTTTTAGTGGCTTTTATAAACAACTTGATTTTTATTTTTTTTATTTTTTATTTTTTTAAAGATTTTATTTATTTAT